GCCGCGGCCCCGCCGCGCCGCCCGGCCATGCCAGATGGAGACCCGGCAGCACGAGTGGCTGTCCGCGCCCCCGCACGAGGGCTTCGAGCAGATGCGGCTCAAAGGCCGCCCGAAGGAGCCGGCGCCCGGCCTGACCCGAGCGGGCGCGAACTTCTACAGCAGCGTCAAGCAGCAGGACTACAGCGCCAGCGTCTGGCTCCGCAGGAGAGACAAGCTGGAGCACGTAAGGGCGCCAGTCGGGCCTGGCGCGCACCTGCCGCGCTCGCGCCCGGGGCCCGGGCAGGTGCGGGGGGGTCTGCGTCCCCCTGGGCCTCCGGTGTCACCTGCAGCGTGCGCTTGGGAGTGCCCGCGCTGGGGCCGAGGGTGGGCGGCTGTCCCGCGCCCCGTCGCACCGCCGCCTCCCCGTGGGCTTGCTGCGGGAGGTTCCTTCTTTGCAGTGTGTCTTGGGGTGCCGCTGAGGGTGCCAAGAAGTGCCACGAGCGTGGCCGCTGGAGAACCCCGACTTTGCACGCGAGGAGCTTTAGAGGGGGCGTTTGCTCAAGTCTTTGGGGCTATTACTCTGCTCCGAAACTAACAGATACGGGAACCCGTCAAGTTGTCGCCACCAGCAAGCGGCTTGAGCTCCCCAGGAGTGTCCGCCAGGGGAAGCAGCCGGCGACCCCGGCTGGCTGAGCCGCTGGGAGGGATTCCGCGATGCAGGGGGAGCGCCGTAGTGCGCACCGATCGCCCGGCTCCGCGGGAACCGCGGCCCGCAGGGTGCTGGCTGGGGCGCCGGCTCCCGGCTCCCGGGCACTGAGGCTTCGGGCCGCGCGCTGGCAGGTCTGGGCTGCGGACCCAAGACCCGCCCTGCCCGGGGGTACACAGGCCCCTCTGAAAGGCTGTGAGTGGACCCACACTTTAAAAGCCGAACGGTTGGCATCTCTTTAAGCCAACGGGAAAAATGGAACAAAGAATTATTTCCGAAGTACAGCCGGTGGGGGAGAGGGTGCTGTTCCCGACGACTGCATGATCCAAACCGGGTCTGTTAATGGAATGTGGAGGTTTCCTTGTATTTGGGTCACATCGCCAATTATGATAAAAAGATCAGGAGAACTTCTGGAACTCTCACTCCTACCGCTGTGCACCGGCGTGAATCCCATCCGCCCCTGTGCGCTTCTCCGCTGGGTTTGCAGCAACAGCCCGCTCCCCGGCTGGAAGCTTGCAAAGGGTTGTTTCTCTTACAATCCGAAAAGAAAGCACGTCTCTATCTTTTTTTTTTTTTTTTTTTTCCTGAGGGCCTGATGAAGTCACTGAAAGCTGGAGTTCGAAGCTCCAAGTTGGGGATCAGCTTAGGTCCTCAAGACCATGGAATAACTGTAGAGTTCTAGGGTGGCAAATTGTTTGAAAGGCAGCAGCACCCACTATAAAATAGCAGCTCCAGAATTAGCTGAATGAGGACCAGGGTTTGATTTGATCAGTTTAAAGGCAGGAAGGGGAGAGGGCTGGCAAATAGCATCTTCATGTGATTTGAGTCTCTGCCCTTCGGCTTCAGAGTGGTCTGGCTTTGGAGTATCTCTTCAATTAGCTTCACTCCCAGTGTGTGTTCATTTGTAGCGTGTGCTTTTAGCTGAGTTATTCGCTTTATTCTCTTATGAAATACCAGCGGTGCAACCTTCTGTAACTGTTTTTCTTGAATCACAGAGGTTTTACACCCGGCACTTAAATGATTTATCACTTTTGGTTTTCATTGAAAGTATTAAGCCGTAGCAGGGTGAGCCAGCAGAAGCTCGCCTCACTTTTCTGGATGAGTATAAGATGCTTTGCTGCCCCGTTCCTCCCCACATTAGAAGCCAAGAAAAGGAAGCTCTGGTTGTTTGAAATCATATGAAGATCTATGTTTTTCTTTAGCTCAGGCGTCCCACAAGAGAGGGTTGCATTTATTTAAAAACAGTTAATTACCTCATTTGTTATTTAAATCAGCATATTCTCAGTTACTTTTCTTGAGACATGTAAGTTGTGTTACGATGTTCTCTTCTATCCTTGTTTTCAGTAAGTAAGAGGGCTTTGCTTCCATTTTTTTTTTTTTGGTCAGATTATCTTACTTTTTGAAGTACAAGCCCTTTATAGTTATGAAAGTGCTATGAAATTAAATTAACATACAATATGTATTTGATTTCAAGCTCTGCTATTTATAATAGATATCATGTTATGCACACTATAATATTTTAGGTAGTTTCATATTAATTTCTAATTATGTATTTGAAGCTTTGAAACCCATAACAAATGTATCCTCTAGGACATTAGTGCTATACAAAGTATAAGAATGCAATATTGACTTTATAATAGCAACATCCTAAACACATGTGGCCGGTCTGTTTAGATATTGTAGAAGTTAGGATGAGTGTGTTACATGAAATTAAAAGGTGATGGATGGTAGTAAAAGGAAAACCCTTGGCCTGTTAATCAAATGAACAACTGGTTTATATTCGGTCGTAAAATGAATTATTAAGGTAGCAAGCATATGCATGTAAGCAACCTACTATTATTTTGCTGTTGCTTTAAAAAACAATTTAGTATTAAGGGCATAAATAAGTTATGGCTTCAGGTGACACACATATTCAGCAATAATGGAATTCCCTGAAATGAAATGTGGCAGTATGTGGACTCTGGCCAGACTTCAGTGGCATCGCTTATTTTGAAAGTCAATAACATGATGCAAAGCAATAACCAAAGAAGGAAGCTACCCCACCCACTTCATTAGAAGAGAAAATAATTTATCTCCTCTGATTAAAAAACTGCAAGATTAATCCCTACATTTGATGAGAGAAAATTAATATAGATTGGTCAAGAATTGGAATGCCTGAATGCTTGCAATCTTTAAATTTGATTCCTATCACTTCTTCAGTACATAAGAGGAACAGTCATAAAAAAGTAAATGGACGTGAGAGAATTGTTCCATTCCTAAGTCATACTTAGAAGCTGCAAGGAAGTTGCAAAAACTGCAATGAATTCTGAACTTTGAACTCCACTTGGAAATTTCAGGAACAAGTGAAATTGCTGGTTATCCATAGAACACAGCTTTATTATCACAGCTACAAATAGTGTTTGTGGTTCTTTAGATTCTTCACGTTCTGCATCATACCACTTAAGACTTTAGAACTGCATTAGGTTTGAGAAATATTGCAAGTTTTATTCTTTAGAGGAGCCTGTATTTGCCTTGAGTATAATGTAAAAGTGAGGATTATGGTCCAGCAAGCAGGAAGAGCTTGGAACACTCCCTCTCCTCACTCCATCAGCCTTCCCAGGAGCTGGGTCACTTTGCGAGTCACCATTTAATATGGTTTGACTCTCCCAAAGGACAGTGTCACGTAGGCTGATGATGTTCTTTGACGATATCGGCCCTTTTTAAACTTCTTTCTCTTTTTGAACTTCTTCCCCTATGATGGACGTTACAGAGGCTACTGTTCTATTTTGCCTGGTTTTAGTCAGTTGTTTGCAGAGACTTCCTGATACTATTTACGAAGGCGGGACACTTGTATTTTTCTTCTGCTTATTCAGTGAACTCTTACCAAAGTGTGGTTAAGAGTAGAACCCTGATTAGACAGACTGAGGTTTAGACTTTTATTTCAGCTCTTATCTCTGTGCTCTTAGGCAAAATACAGTCACCAGGTTATATATTCATATTTCTCCTTACTAGAGTGGCTGATTTGCTGGGAAGACTCAAGGAGACAGTTCATGCCGATGCTGCAATGACACACAGCTCCTTCAGTACCAAAAAGTACACTTTTCCCTCACGCTGTGTGGGTTGGCAGGTGACTTAGTGAGTTTGGGTTGCTAGTCCATAATACTATGGCCTGGGAGGCTTAAAGGCCAGGCACTTCCTTTCTTCTGACAGTTGTGGAGATCGGAAAATGCAAGTCAGGTCAGAGTGCGAGCTTACTTGGTGTCTGGTACGGACCTCTCCCTGTAGCCCAGACAGCTGCTCCTGTATCCTCACTTGACAGGAATGACAGAGCTCTCTGGGGCCCTTTTCATACGGTCTCTATGTGGTGGTGAGTATTCTACCTCGTGACCTATCCCCTCCCAATGGTCCCACCTCCACATGCTGACATATTGGATAATACCTTTCAAGATAAAGATTGGGGGGCACGCCACCCCTGTGCGGAAGATTTTTGCCATGGAAATGTCGTTCTGAACCATCTTGGTGCTGGTTTCATGATTGTCAAGGCAGCGAAAGGGAAAATGATGAGTCATGTTATGCCTTTCAGGTTTCTTCCCAGAAATGGAACATCCATGTAATTCAAGTTTATCGAGTCAACAGGGGGAAGGAAGGGGTATTGAACTGAGAACTAGAAGAAAGAGAAAGCGAACACCCACGATTAGCTTGTTAGGTGACCGAGCACATAAAGCGTGTGTGTGTGCAGTGTGTGGCATGTATTACATGCTTAAACACAGAACCTGTAGTTTTAATTTCTTTGTGGGTCTTGCCTGTCTGGCTGAGCCCTCACACGTCACCTTAAGATCTGGTTGCCTATGTTATGGCCCCAAAAGATCAGCGACCAACTCCTACCCAGCCTTGTTTGGCGGCCTCTTTTCCTGGTCTGTGGTTCTTCTTCGGGGGTCTAGCTCTCAAGTGGCTTAGCTCCAGCGGTAGACCCTGGAAGAGCCCCCCTGCTTGGCTAGCCTGAGGTGGCCTCTTGTTATTTCTACTCTGTGCACTCAGGAGCAGACACCAGGTCCTTACACTGACTTTCCTTCACAGGTGGTACCAGTGGAATTAAGGGGTATTTCATTATCTGCATGGTGGTTCAGAACCACCACTATTTAAAGTGGAAAGAGAAAGCCGAAGAGAACATTGCTAAAGCGTGAAAGAATCCTTAATGGTCACATTTATAGTGAACTTTAGCATCTTGCTTTGTTTAGGGTTTCACTTAAAAAAAAAATATGCCTCCCTCTAAGTGTGAATTTGTAGCTGCTTAAATAGTGTTGCCAGTGAATAGTAAATAAATGCCAAGTATAAGCTGGCCTCCTGGAATTAATTATTCACAAGATGAGCAAAGAATAAATGGATCGGAGCAAACTTGGTCATCATGGTCTGGGCTTATGTTATGTAATGCCATTTATATCCCACAGAGCAGAGCCATCGAGTGTCACATCCCACAGAGCAGATCAGTGAAGCACCAAAAGACAAAGTTCAGCTTAAGGGAAAGAACCTTTCAGTGTTCCATTAAAAGTCAATCAAAC